AATATATGTACATACATGTGTTGACAAAGGATAGAGGGCAAAAGTTGGTAAGTGGAGAATGAGAAGATGAGAGAGATGCTCACCAGTGGGGAATAGGGACTGGACTCTCTCTAGAACATGGTGACACTCTCCATCTCCCAGCTGGTAGAGGACATCCGACACATGCTCCAATGTCAGTGAGGAGGTTCAGTGGAAATCACTCTGAGCACTTCTGCTTTCCTCTCCTATTCACTGGACCCACTGAGACTTATCTTATCAGTATGGACTATGGCACATCCATCCCAGACCAAAGTGCCACCAGTGTGTCAGGTAATGAGTCCAGACTGTGACGTCAGTTGGAGAGAGTGAGGTGATCTGATATCTGTGAGGATCAAAGGACACTTTCATCAACATCATAACTGACATGACCAGTGCAACAAGATTTTTCTGTCATATCAATACACCACCTACTATATACTGTAGTATGTAAGCCAGTGTCATGAATAATGTTGTCCATGATGAATTACAGAGAGTGGGTGGGTTCTTACACATCTCAGCTATTTACAGCAATCAAACTCACAAACTATGCCTTACACGTACTAAATGTACGTACACATGGACAGAGTATTACAGTACTGTACTGCACATGTACATTCTCATACTGACCATGTGTGTGTGGTAATTGTCTGACAGTCTCCAGGGCCGTGTGCTCCCCCAGGAACCCTAACACACCAGCTATCCTCCCCCACGACACACCAGGTACAGTCTGGAGGCAGTACTGCAGACCAGCCACTCTCTTCTCTTCTTCACTTGAGTATGATCTACTGTCTCTGATCTGACTCATCACTGACACGGGCACACCAAGACACTCCAGTAGCCCAGTCTCTAACTCAATGCCCCAGAACTCTCTCACAGTAGCCACAGCACCTGCTACAGAGTGTGGAGTGAGGCTGTCATCTGGAGGGAGGAGGGGCAGGAGTGACAGTAACAATCACAAAAGAACTAACATCTTCACCAGTCTACAGACTGGACTGGCTATGATATCACCTGTTCCTCATCATTTGTAGGTGCATGTAAGTTACAAATAATTGTTGCAGGTATTGAAGGAACTTGTGTCAGTATATAAGCACAAGCTAAACAATGCAGATTCCGTACAATATTTTCTCCACTGCCACAGTCTGTTTAATTATTGTAAGCACGTGAATATGTAGGCATAATACACAGATATGTATGTATGTAGAAACTTCGATTGAGCATGTGCAATGGTAACAGGCTCTTTGGGGTGCATGAGCTGCGTGGGTGATCATGATTAGCCAGCCAGTAAGCAAAACATGTTGGTTTCTATGGATACACATACCGGTGAGAGGCTCAGCATTGGATCTTATGGAGTCGGCCAGCTCTGTTTCTCCCATCTTGTCCAGGGCAATAATGAGTCTCCTCCAGCTGGCTAGAGGGTCGGTGTTGATCCAGTACGATATAGCCTGCTGCTTTTGATCTGGGAAGTTGGCCGTGATCTCTTTCTGCTTTGATTCAGGTATGAGGAGGTATCGTGTCAATGACCGACTCCTCTCTCCACCCCACCACCTCTTCACCTCCCTCACTACTGCCAGTACATTGGAGGTAGTGAGGGGAACACCTGCCATGGAGTACACACATGTAGTGATGTATAGCATCCGTAATCTATATAGACTGTGAACTAGCTCATTAATTTTCTTTTGTTAATAGTACGTGGACCACACCCTTCGTGAGGTGCTTGCACATGTAATGTGGGTGGGGCACATGGTCTTTCAGAATGGCAGGGAAGGCTGAGTGAACAGGTCTTTCAAAGTTTGCTAAATGAGGCAGCTGGGAATCATCTAATTGTGCTTGCACATGTAATGTGGGTGGGGCACATGGTCTTTCAGAATGGCAGGGAAGGCTGAGTGAACAGGTCTTTCAAAGTTTGCTAAATGAGGCAGCTGGGAATCATCTAATTGCCCCAGCGTCAATCCTTTTTTTAGGTCTACACCCTTTTATGTAAAGTACAACTCTCCCTACACTTCACCCAATTACACTAGCTATTATCTAGTCCCTGAACTGTGCCCAATATACTTACTTCGTTTCACTCTCAGAGTGCTCTGGGCCATTTTACTGGGTTAGCTACTGACAGAGAGACTCGGCGGCTTGCTGGACAGCAGGAGAAGGCCGCGCGCTCAGCCAGGCACAGGGCCGGCCGGCCGGACGGTCTACCTCGACGTGCGTGCGCGCGTGTGCGTGTAAAAGCAGCAGTAAACAACTAATACGAGCCCCACCCACAAAAACCAAATGCGCATGCGCGCGTGGTGGCCAATGGCCCGTTCACGGCTGTTTCAATTACACGTAGCAACTTAGTGACGTCACGTTTACATAATGAATGTAACCCATACATTTAACGTAGCAACGTGCGCTAGCAACAGAGCGGCTCTACTTTGCGGTGCTGTTGCGCTTCCAGCGTAAGTAGGCGGAGTTTATATTGTTTACCACGTGGACCGCCGTGGAAGGAGCTGTCTGTAGGTATGTCGTTTATCGGGCGAAGTGACTTCTTGCCTGCGTTACTGGTGGCGAATTCGAGAGCAAACGGGGTCGCTGGGATATCGTGTATCGGGCTGCCAGCAATTTTTCGAGGAAAGAAAGAATCATAAGTTGAAAGGAGATGTTCTGACGCATCCCTTCGTTTACCCTAGACGACGGCAAGCATTTTTCTTAGGACGGGAAAGGTGGGCAAAGCAGCACCTGTTTTTGTGATATACGTGTGCACTAACAAGATAAACAGCGGAAACGTAGATACTATGGTTAGTCTCTATTCCTCTGAGGTGGCACTACTCTTTCTTCTTTGTAGGAGAGGACATACTCTCCTATGGTGTTCCTGGGTTACCAGCCTCAGCTGCTGCTCTCTGTCGTGCACATTGGCATAGACCCTCTTCAGATTATTGTAGGCCGCATGGATGGACTCAGCTCCCTGCTCCCCAAGCATACCAAACCCAACCCTCCACTGTCTAAGAAATTCTATGGTGTGTTCTTCAAGTAGGTGCAGCTTTGGAGTTATGGATGACTCTGGAAATTTCTCGCGGTAGAAGTTCATAAATGTTAGTATGTGAGACTCTAAAGGAAGAGGTTTGTATAAATATTGTATGTCCATAACAGTATATATCATTTTACCTAAATCAGATAGATCTTTGTCTGAAAGGTAGGTTTGTGAGGTATAGCCTTGATGGCACTTCGCAAAGAGGGTGAGAGCAGTTTTGAGGTTAAGGGTGTTTCCCTTGCCTTCTCCAGGAGTGCTGGGCATCTTTCATCTGCCACTGTCGTGATTGCCAGACACAGAGTTGCTATGTTGAGTTCCTATGTTGTGTATGAATCGTATGTGGAAGCAGAAACAAAAGGTAAGTGCACAACAAGCATCATGTGTACATTTCTGTTACCTTTAGACATTTGTGGGCATGATTGCCCGTAAACGTCCCACCATAGTATGCCTCACGATGCACTTTTAGCTTTCCCAGGGTCTCATCCAGCGCTCGGCAAAAGGGCCCGTCATCAAGGTCAAAACCATCTCTACATTGCTGTTTTATTCGTGCTATTTTCTCTTCCTTTGGTAATAATAATAATATTATAAAACCAGCTGTGTGTATTAGTATTGTACTTACAATGTCAGGTATCATGTCCCTTTTTTTGATTGCTTCCTGTCTTAGGTTTTGGACCAGCTGGCTTGTCTGCCCTAGTCTCATGGCCACTTCTGTGGTGAGCTGATCTAGTGTTGTGGAATAGTGTGTGACCCACTCTTTCTTCTCTTCCAGCTTCTGTATCTCCTGAATTCTCTCTGAGTAGAGTGCAAATCCATGCCTGTCTCCTTCTCTCCCCTTTCCATTCATAGCCAGCTCCAAGTCCAGTTTGTGGCATTCACTCTCCATTAGCCGCCATAGCCTCATGAAAATGCCGAGGGAAACATGCAAGCCTGGCAGTGCAGCCTGTACAGTGCGTTGGTGTGTATTGTTATTTTTTAAATTGCTAGACTTTACCTGAGAGATGGGTATGTTGACGAGCTTCTCACTGATAACATTGTTGTTGTGCTTTGCCTGTTTTATTTCACCTTTGCCAAGGGAGGAGAATTGCTGGTAGTCTGTGTATAGTGATTGCAGAGTATGTCTGGGGGAGCAACCACGCTGTTGAGGTGGTTTCTGCATCTGGTTGTGAGTGATGGTACAGTAGAGACAGCTGTAACGTCCTATACATTGTAAATTTTTAAGCAAAGTGTCCATATTGCACAATTTTTACACGTACCACTTGCTCCTGAGATTCCGTAAGCTCGGCTTAGGAACTCATAATCTCCGGAAAGAAAAACTCTGATGCGTTTCCCCCTGTACCAGAGTAGTATGTGTATGTACATGTGAATTTCCCAAAATGTACTATTTCACCTCCAGGTCTCATTTTGTAACCTTTTCACCTGCTCCCGATACCGTCCCAGAGCTATCTTGAGGTTTATCACTGAGTCATTAGCCTCAAATGCAGTGAACACACAGGTGTTCTGGATGGAATTAGGGTGAGGGGTGTTCACTACTTGAAGCGACATTTTGAAACTCTCTCCTCCCTTGTCGCCACCGAGCTTAATCCACACCTCCTCTGGAGGAATGGTACCTCCATGCCAGGTGAGTCTGTCGGCACTATAGATTTGTTATGTGATTGTACATGTATATATCAGCATGCAGGTGTGCATTTAAATACCTGGCATTCTGGTCAAGGAGGTGGAGTGTAAATGCCACAAGGTCTGCCACATACACTAGTGGGGCTGGTCTCAAGTCCTCCAGTTAGGCCAAAGAAAATGACAACTCTGCTCCAAGTCAGTCACGAGTAGCTCCTGAGATAGTTTTCTCTGATGTTTTCGCGTCACGTGGGAATGATATACCATTCGCTCCGAAACAGCTGTATATAGACATTTACAGTATTAGCCATATTGTTCAGTAGTGTAAATACCTCCTCCTGTCGTATTTGTGCCATGGACGTCCCATGCTGGTTTTCATGAGCAGGCTCTCCTCAGCACTTATAGGACGGGCAAATCAGATCTTTCACCTCAACTTTGGTCCTGCCTGCATTCGCCTCTCTCGCCTCCATGCCTGCTCTTGCTGCGTATGCTCCTCGCTTCTCCCTGTCGTAGGGTTCTCTCACTACGCTCCTGCTTCTCGCGTCTTTCTCGACCTTTGTCCGTGCTTCTGCAAAATCCCGTGTGGTTACTCCGGATGCATCCGGAGTAACCACACGGGATTTTGTACCGTACCACGCTGATCAGTGGTTCAGGTTCCTGGATGATGAGGGTTGATATGATCTTTACCAACACCTCAGAGGCAGGTGAGAAAGATGAGGGGCGATGATCAGTTCCGCAGCAGGTAAGCTCACTATTGTGTGTTTTGAAGTGAGAAGCGATGCACTTGAAGCATACTAGCTTGCCACAGCTACTCTGCACTGGTCGATCTGGAATACAATTGCACTGTATGCATTGCAGGTCGGTAAGTGTGGCGCCCTGTGCTGGATGAAGGAAGCGTGCTGGGCAGAGAGGCTTGGGGTCTCCCCAAGACTGAGCTGTTGTTGCGTTCAAGTGCAGCAGCAGTTGTGTCTCGTCTGTGGAAAATATCCGTGGACGACCTCTTTGCTGAAACTGCTTGCACAATGCACACCCCCTCTCGCTATGAGGCTTCCACACAGTTGTTAACATCTCACTCCTGATACCACTGTGCTGGTTATACTGGTGCATTTTTGTGTTGTAGGTGTTACAGAAGTGTGGTGGGTGCACTGTTTCCTCGTCCATGCTGATATCAACGTTAAATGCTGTCATCAACTCCTTTGTGTTTTCTTTGCAAGAGTATATAGTTGTTTTCTTGGACTTCCTGCCTACCAGGGGGTTTCCGCATACTCTGCGGCGCTTTGCGAGTTGCTCCTGGTGGTATTCATAGGAGGACATCGTGGGCGTTTCACGGCGATGGCGATGGCGAAATTTGGTGACGTGGGAGGGCCGCGTACGGGTCGTCGGACTGTGACGGACTGCACGTACTTGCCAAGTTCTAACGTCTGGACTATTTCTAGAAGGACCAGTCTACCCCGCTCCGCAGTTAGCAAGATCTTTAAAAATGCCTGGGCGATGGCAGAGGGCTTGGAACTTGTACCAGTTCTCGTTGCTGGTGTGTATTATATGTATAAAGTCGATGCGCAGTGGAAAAAGAAAGATGCAGGCGCCAGTGCGAACCACACAAACGTATTTATACTATCATTATACTGTTTTGGGTTGAAGAGGCGCCTTTTGGATGCCGCCCTTTCTAGCAACGGCCATAGCAACCAAGTCAGTTTTTCATGTAAACGTTGTTAAAAGGCGCCTCTTCAACCCAAAACAGTTGGTTGCTATAGGTGATCAGTTCTGCCTCAAATTTGTGAAAGCTCCTCTTGTACTGCGACCGAGTGACGAGTTCCAATAGCTCCTGTAATATTATCCAGAGTTCATTCTCCAGACTGGTCCCTTCAGTCACATTGTTACTATTCTGGAGAGGAGCTCCTCAGCCCTATCCTGCGAGGCAGAACTGATCACCTGCAACGGGTCCCTTCAGTCACATTGTTACTATTCTGGAGAGGAGCTCCTCAGCCCTATTACTGTATTGCATCTTTATCTTCCTCTTGCTAAAGCGGTTGCAAGAGACTGTAGCACAGCCAAAAATAGCCCATGGGCACATTCCTTTTGCTTTACACCTATTATGCACATGCAGAAACTCTTTTTCCAATATACAACTAAGATTAATGCAGTATTCCACAGTAGCACAGACTATATAGTAGATGTATGTTTGAGAATATTTTTTGTATGCAGTGGGACTAGAGGTGCATTTTTGAAGGAGAAAACCACAAAGCCACTGAAAGTTACTCGTTGAATCATAATAATGTGGTCCATACACACAAAATTTGAAATTTCCAGGTAAATGTTTTTAATTTTCAACTTTAACTCCTTCCCCCCTCTCCCCCCTCACCAGGAAAGCTACCTGTCCCTAGCCAACTCCCTCATCTCCTCCCAGTCAGATCCCCAGAACCAGAGCAGGCTCATGGAGGCCTTCTCTCTCCTCACTCCTCCCTCTCTCCCTCTGGACTCCAAGAGAACTTCCAAAATCACTTTCAGAAAGAACCTCGAGCAGTTTCTACCGTTTGTGAAAGGTTTCTTGTGTTACAAATGACGACACACACGTTTCATCATCAGTTGTTTTCTTTTTTTTACCATTATAGCAACTATCTGGCGTCATATACCATTCTGTAGGATGTATGCTTTTTATTTCATATAATAATATAGTGAGACTTGTAATCATGTGAGGGAGAACATATGTACTTGCAGTTTGGTGGGAAAGTTTGTGGCAAAACTTTTGAAGATAATTTTTTTAAGGTTTACACCCACAAAATGTCGCAGACAAAGAACAAAGATTTCCTCCCCTACATGTTTTCTATGTTTACACAACTGCAACAAAGGGCATGTGGTGCTCCCTAATTAGAATCATAACTACGTAGAACAACGCAACACATTTTTGGTGAGCGAATGCGAGAGTCACACGTGACATACGCTCCTTCACGTAAAACATTACTGTATATGTGCAATAGCGTCCGTATAATAATGTGGAACCTCCGAACAAGGGACACTATGGGGCCAACGATTTTGTCCCTTGTAGAGAGGTCGTCCCTATCTCGGAGGTCAAATAATACACTAAAGTATTAGCATGGGATTGAAACAAGTGTCCTTTGTAAAGAGGTTGTCCCTATTTCGGAGGGTCCCTTATCGGAGGTTCAACTGTAATGTGGAAAAGACGATTAGGTAGACTTGCTCCACTTGCCAATTATGCTTGCTGTGTTGTGTTGAAAATTTAACCTCACAACTAAGAAACAGCATTCTAACTAGCTACAGAGTCCATACGTCAATGTTATTATGTAATCCGAGGCAATCAAAATCCGAGGGGTGTCCAAAGAGAGAGTCCTAGCAGACTGGAGGAGGGGTTCTGGAGAGAATGTTGGGATTTCCTGAGACTCAGTTCTGGGCTGGAGCTGGCACTGTGGGAGGAGGGAAAGGATTGCAGCAATTTGGAGTATGTTCATACTTTTTGAATAGTAGGCACTGCCCTACCCTATTAAATTCACAGACTGTTCTATATACTACTGTACTAGAGGAATGCAACACGTTATTGCGAGCAAAGTGAGCAGTTCAATATTTCACACGTGTTTTGCGTGTATTTAGAATAATGTAGATCATTACGGTATGTGCAGTGCCCATCACATAAATTCCTGCATTGACATATACGACTATACTGACTATACTGCTACATACATACTGGAGTCCAATAATGTACACAAGGAAAAGGCAGGCATGCATGGATAATGTTTTGACAGACAGCATGCATAGAGTACTGTCCTACATGCATACATACTGGACTTTAGTCCCAATAATGGGTGGCAATAATATCTCTATCTAGAGTGCACCAAAGGTAGCATTGTACTGGTCACTGTGAGTATGGACGGATGTATATACATCTCTCTCACACTGACCTTTGTACTTGGTGGCAATGTGTATGGCAAGGGCGTTGTTGTTCCCCCCATTGCGATGGGCCACTGCCTCCACCAACATCTTCCACGAAGGCAGTCCGAAACGCTCCGTGTTGTAAGACTGGTTCAGCCACTCGGTCACCATCTCTGACAGACAGCTCCTAGAGTCTTGTTGGTGATCAGCTTTGATTCTGGCGAGAGTTGAAGGTCGTAGTCTGAGAGCAGTTCCCAGTGGTCTCCACATGTGGGCCACGTCGTCCAGTTCACAAACAACTTCAAACAGATCATCTGTGTCTGCAGCAAACAACACATTCCACCAACACATAATTCCCATTCGGTGTAAAGACCCTCTGGAAAAAGATGGTATGGAGACCCTCCGAGCTAGAAACAAGGCTGACTCTGGGCTTAAAACCAACCTAAAGAGAGATTTTTGTGTCGATATCCAAGTTGATTTTAGAGCTACCAAAGCAAAAATTTCTACACCTATAATACACGTTTCCTGAGTTCACTCGAAAAAAATTTTAAAAAGCCAGTCTGAGGCATGTATAAGGAGGAATAAAGGCAGAAAAAACATACCTAGTTGTTGTGTACTATCTGGAGAGGTAGGAGGTGGTGTGGTTGCTGCCATTGCCACTGCTGACTGCTGCTGTTTGCCTGCAGTACAGTGCACACATGCTTTCAGTGTTAGCTCGGAACAGAGCTTGCAGAATTACAATGGGGATCTGAACTACATAGGCACTGGATTGGTGTGGTAATCCACTTACAAGCCTCGTCACACCAGGGAAGCACAGTGCCCAGCTCTGCCAGAGTCCCACGGACACCCATGTCACTGGTGCAGTTCCATTTTCCGTCCTTGATGTAGGCTGTGTGGGCCTTGTCTGAGTGGCTCTTTGGACAGATGATGGCTGGCCGTGGCTTGTTGTTGGAGTAGCCCAGCATGTCCGACACCGTTTCAATTCCGTTGAAGATGGATTTGCCGACGTGTTGCCATAGTTTCTGTTCCTCTTCCTCGCTAGTTGTGTCTGAGACGTGGGCCTCGAAGTACTGGAAGCGATCCACCAGAGTGACGGAACCGAAATCTGGAACATGGAACTGGATGCAGTCGCGATACAAACACTTTGGCAGGTTGGAGGAGAGGCAGAGTTTCCAGGGGTGGGGGTGAGGGTGCTGGGGAGACAGGACGTGGGCCATCAGTGAGCAGAAGATTCCGTTCTGGGGACCTCCGTCGGGGAAGTCTACCACTAGGGGACCGGCCGACACGCACACTTCCTTTACCTTCTCCTCCGCCACTTGTCTCAGGACACTCGGCATCAACCAGGTCTCTGGACCCTCCTCACTCTCCAGTTTGGCAAACACCAGCAGCTCCTCCAGAAGGTGGATCAGATCCTCGCAGCTGAAGATCCCGCGGTGGTAGTGGCTGCTGAATCGCTTGTCCTCCAGGAAGGCCTTTGTCACGTGTCCAAACTTCTCAAACTGCTGCCAGCCTGGAGGGAGGAGAGACTCGTCTGCTGTCTGGGAGGAGGTGGCGGCTGCTTTCTCGGGAGTCGTGCCGTCTGTGTTGGTGGAGGTTGGCTCTGGCTTGTCAGTGTCTGGTCCAGGAGTCTGGCCTTCGGCTGCTGCGCCTGCTGCCTCGTCTGGTGACGTCTTGTCTTCCTCTTCCGGCTCTCGCAACTCAAACATGAACACCACCAGCTCCGAGACCTTGTCCAGAATGACTTGAGGGTCGATGAACACCACTTCGGGGAGGATGTCGCGGAAGTAAAACATGAGGCTCCAGTTGTGGAAGAAGTCTAGGGCTTCGTTGAAGGAGTTCTCCTCCAGTCCCAGAGACTGCGCCACACGCCAGCATTCCTTGCGACTCATCACCTGCCTCCCCAGACCCTTGGCCAGGCTTCGCAGCTTCTCCTCAAAGGCGTCCCATCTCACCGGGATCTCCACTTCCTTTGCCGGGCACTGCTCCAAGATGTAGCTCCGAACCTTCTCCGCCGTCTTCCTGTCCGTGTCGTCTGGATTCAGGGCATTGATCTCGAAGATGAGTGTCTTCTTGTCCAGCTGGATGATCTGCTTCTCAAACTTTGCCGGGATCAGCTTCTTCAGTCGCTCGTTCTTGTCTGCCACCGTTTCGGGGAGACATTTGTGTGCCAGGTCGCGGTGGGTGCCAAGGAAGAGCAGCATCGAGGGCGGCCCCTTCGTTTTGGAGGTGAACGTGTTGATGGTTTGGATGAACTTCTTCAGGTTCTCTTCGTTGGTTCGGATGCAGCGGTAGGGCTTGGAGACGGCCTTGCCCCTGAGCCAGTAGCCAGTCTGAGGGTGTTCGTCCAGCGACTGTGACAGGTCCATCACCAACACACAGGCCGAAGTCTCGCCAAGGAACACGGCCATGGCTTCCATGAACTCGGGTTGTCCTCCGCTGTCCACGACGTATACCACCGTCTCGTCCAGGAGCGTCTCGTGAGAGTCGCTGGGGATGTTGATGAGGGAGATGTACTCTTGGTCCTCCTCAGATGACTGCAGCAGGTACTCCAGTGTCCCCTCTGCTGGGGTTGCTCTGGACGACCTGTCAGGAATGGCTGTTGATGTGTTTGTGGTGGGACTGCCAGTGGTTTTCACTGGCTGTGTGGCTGTGGATGACTGCTGGGCTGAGGACGAGGGCTGGGCTTCCTCCTCTGTTACGGCTGACTCGTCTCCATCGCTTGCTGCCAATAGTGATTCTGTTTCGGATGATTCAGATTGCTTTCTTACTAAACCTCGAAATGCATTGACAAATTTGGTGAATGTCAGTTTCACTCTTCCAGTGGCTGTTGATGTGTTTGTGGTGGGACTGCCAGTGGTTTTCACTGGCTGTGTGGCTGTGGATGACTGCTGGGTTGAAGACAAGGGCTGGGCTGGGGAAGACGGAGCAGGTGTGGGGAGGGACGCTGGGTCTTGGCTGGTGAGAGAGGCTTGGCCTAGTCGCTGGGCCCGCTCTCGCAGGAGGCTGGCAATGTATTTCTTCTTCTCCTCCGGGTTCCTCTTCTTCCAGTGGACCTTGTCGTGGACGACGACCACCTCTGTTTGGACGGGTCTTGTCAGGAGTGATGTGCTGGTGCGCTGGTCTTCTGCCAGTGGCTCCTCCCCAATCACTGTCTGTAGAGACGTTGATTTCCCACTGCCAGCAATCCCCACCATCACAAGTTTAGTCAGTTTTCGTTTGGTGACTCCTCGCTTCATTTCTTCTTGGTAGATCTTCTTGGCACGTCTTCTTCCTGGTGGTTATAGATGGCAACATGTATGTATGTTAAATGTGTGTAAAAGGTGTCAATAACAATTACTAGATACTGATTCCAGGTAACTACGTACAATGCAATAGGAAATGGAGGGCCCTGGCATTGTGGCAAAGTTAGGCTGCTGGCATAAGGTTTTTTAACGTACATGTAGTCTATATAGTTGCCAGAATCTCGACCGCCTTTGTAGATCTTGTTGTTTGCATGTACATTTGTTCTGTCAAAGGTTACTAGTAAACCTGAGCTTCGCGGTCTGTAAAAATTTAGTTCTGACCTCACTACAACTAGATTTCACATAACTATTGTATGCATAGATGCATGGTGTTTACATTAAAGCAAAAGATAGAGGGCAAAAGTTGGTACAAGTGGAGAGAGAGAAGATGAGAGAGAAGCTCACCAGTGGGGAATAGGGACTGGACTCTCTCAAGAACATGGTGATACTCTCCATATCCAAGCCGGTAGAGGGCATCTGACACATGCTCCCATGTCAGGTGAGGATGTTCAGTGGAAATCACTCTGAGCAGTTCTGCCTTCCTCTCCTTATCACCGGACAACTGAGACTCTATCTTATTCAGTATGGACACAGGCACATCCATCTCCCAACCAAAGTCCCACCACAGTGTGTCATGTAATGAGTCCAGAGCTGACGTCAGGTTGTAGAGAGTGAGGCTGATATCTGTGAGGATCAGAGGAACACTTTCATACAACATTCATAACTGACATGACCAGTCCACCAATTTCTACTACGGTAGTACAAATTTCTTGTCATATCAATACACCACCTACTATATACTGTAGTATGTAAGCCACTGTCATGAATAATGTTATCCATGATGAATTACAGAGAGTGGGTGGGTTCTTACACATCTCAGCTATTTACAGCAATCAAACTCACAAACTATGGCTTACGCATACTCAATGTATGTACACATGGACAGAGTATTACAGTACTGTACTGCACATGTACATTCTCATACTGACCATGTGTGTGTGGTAGGTATTGTCTGACAGTCTCCAGGGCCGTGTGCTCCTCCAGGTACCATAACACACCAGCTATCCTCCCCCACGACACACCAGGTACAGTCTGGAGGCAGTACTGCAGACCAGCCACTCTCTTCTCTTCTTCACTTGAGTATGATCTACTGTCTCTGATCTGACTCATCACTGACACGGGCACACCAAGACACTCCAGTAGCCCAGTCTCTAACTCAATGCCCCAGAACTGCCTCACAATAGCCACAGCACGTGCTACAGAGTGTGGAGTGAGGCTGTCATCTGGAGGGAGGAGGGGCAGGAGTGACAGTAACAATCACAAAATGAAAAGCACTGAAGTGCAAACCCTCGGCGCATTGTGACGCGCACGCATAAGTAAACGCATGCGCCGTACCACTAATTGATGGGCTGGGTTTAGTTTTAACTGTTACTCGTTGTCTCTTGCCAGCTCGCGCAGAGTCTGACGCGGGCTAACTGCACTACTAGATAGCATGCGAGAGGCGATACACGCCCTGCATTGCATCTTCTGGTGCCTCCGAGGTACGCAGAGCACGCGGATCGATCAGACCGTGGTAAGCCATCCCCGTCCGTTGCGTATTTGCATATTGGCTTTTTCGCGCTCTAGCTTTCAGAGAAAACCGTTCGAAATTTCTGACCTTCATTGCCCGTTAAGTAGGTGGTATCCTTCGTGTAGACGAACAAACACTCGAGAAGTGAGATGTAGAGTAACAGACACACACACACAGACCCAACTACAGTAACCCTCGCTGCGCATGCACGCCGAGGGTTAATGACTAACATCCACACCAGTCTACAGACTGGACTGGCTATGATACCACCTGTTCCCCATAATTTGTAGGTGCATGTTGTTTCAGGTATTTGCAGTACATAAGTGCTAAATTTACTAAACAATGCAGATTTATCCACAGTCTGTTTAATTGCATAACACATCTTTGATTGAGCATGTGCAATGGTAACAGGCTCTTTGGGGTGCATGAGCTGCGTGGCACCCCACTTAATTTTTAGACCGTTGATCACGATTAGCCAGCCAAACATGTTGGTTGCTATGCATACACATACCAGTGAGAGGTTCAGCATTTGATCTTATGGAGTCGGCCAGCTCCGTTTCTCCCATCTTGTCCAGGGCAATAATGAGTCTCCTCCAGCTGGCTAGAGGGTCGGTATTGATCCAGTAGGATATAGCCTGCTGCTTTTGATCCATCTCATCTGGGAAGTTGGCCATGATCTCTTTCTGCTTTGATTCAGGTATGTGAAGCCAGTATGTCAATGGCAGACTCTCCCATTCACCCCACCACCTCTTCACCTCCCTCACTACTGCCAGTACATTGGAGGTAGTGAGGGGAACACCTGCCATGGAGTACACACATGTAGTGATGTATATATAGCATCCTTACTCTATATAGACTCTGAACTAGCTCATTCATTTTCATTCGTGAATAGCACACGGAACAGATCAGACCCTTCGTGAGGTGCTTGCGTTACGCGTAGTGGCAGAAAGCGTGGTAGCTAACAGACAGACAGACACAGACACACTTACGGACCAAGTTGCACACGTGATGTGGGTGGGGCAAATGGCCTTTCAGAACGGTCACAAGACTACAGAGGGGTGTTGTTTAGCTAACTGGGTAGGGAGGCTGAGTCAACAGGTCTTTCAAAGTTTGCTAAATGAGGCAGCTGGGATCATCCCACCCAGCTTCTATAAAATGAAAGATTATCTTTTTTTTTAGGTCTACACTTTCTATGTAAAGTACAGCAACTCTCCCTACACTTCACCCAACTACCGTATTTCATTCTAACTGGACATTTCCTTTTCGCTTTTATTGGTGAGCGCTGGTGCTAGCTAACCCAGTGGTAGGAACGGCGCGGTGTCGTGTATCTACGACGCGACCGTACGTCTTCCAACTGCGCATGCTCCAGGATTACGTGATTAGCCGTGCGTATACTACGAAGAGAGGGGGAAAGAGAACATCGTGCCCGTGAGAGTCCTGAGCAGAGAGAGGCTCATCTGTATCAGCGTCGCTTGCGTGATAGGGAACAGGCAAGGGAACGCCCCGCCACAGAAACAGCGGAGGAAAGCGAAGCGCGACTAGCAAGACGTCGTGTACAAGCTAAATCGAGACTTGCTGCGGAATCAGGGGAAACGCAGCTCGAACACCGCCGAAGCTATCGAGAAAGGCGAATTGCTGCACAGTCCAGCGACGAGAGAGAGGCTTGCCTTTTCGCTGCGCTCTTTGATACCTTACCGATGCTCTTCGTGGTTCTAAGGTTCGAGTTGTAAATAGGTCGTGCAGTCTGAGTCATCGTGTGCTCGCTCCCGCTCGCCAAGCATTCACTTACGAACGGCGCGGAATTTTTCACGACCGTACGTCGTACAACTGCGCATGCTCCAGGATTACGCGCTTCTTAGTTTCGCATGCTGCTGCCTAGCCTGCCCTCATAATGCCGCGCAGGCAGTATACGCGTGTGTGTAGCTAGCTCTCAGACTGGAAAGAGAAACGTCGTGTCCGTGAGACTCCTGAGCAGAGAGAGGCTCATCTGCATCAGCGTCGCTTTGCTCACTGTTCTGCTAATGTACAGTACGCATGTAACGGCGACAGGTAGATCTGTCTTACTTCACGAAAGGAAAGCTGTGCGCTGACGGCGTTATGTAGCCCTAACATCGCGGGAAAATCCCGGGTCGCTCCCGCTCGCCAACAATGTTCAACATTTCCACTAGTTAGAAAACTAGCTGTATTATCTAGTCACAGAACCGTGCCCAATACTTACTTCGTTTCCCTCTCAGAGTGCTCTGGGCCATTTTACAGGGTTAGCTACTGTCTGTGTGAGAGAGAGAGACTCGGCGGCTTCCTGGACAGCAGGAGAAGGCCGCGCTCAGCCCGGCACACGGCCGGCCGGCCGGACGGTCTGCCTAGCTCACCACACACGTACGTACGTACACGTGTAGGTTAGTCTCGTGCCCAGACCCCGCCCCCGGCCCTCAAGAGAGCTAGCGAGCGCGTGGGCACGGGACTACATACGTGTGTGTACGTACGTACGTGTAGTGTATACGTGAGCAGCACTAAAATGCGCGTGCGCGCGTATGGCACGCCGCCGTTTGTCACAAAATTCAAATCGGGGGATTAGCCTAAATTCCGCCATTCTGTATACTAGTAGGCGAATGCATGGCATTTTTGGCGAGCGGAAGCGCGCTTACAATTGGGGTCTAATCGTATGAGTCACTCTAGTGTGTGCACAAAACAGTGAGATACATTGCACAGGACCAAGTAGGCCGAAACGACCCGAGCGCAGTAGACAAATTCGAGTCGAGTCAAAAACAGTCAGACGACAGCGCGAATCAGGCATAATCCGGCAATCTGATTGGTCTTGCAGGATTAGGGAACAAGTGGCAATGTAGAAAAATCTCTCGCTGGACTGTGCAGCAATACTCGATAGCTTCGGAGGTGTTGCGTTTCCCCTGATTCCGCTCGATTCAGGCAGCATTATGAAAATGTTGAAATCCCTTTCGGATAAAAAGAAGCGCGTCATGCTAGCTGGAGCATGCGCAGTTGGACGATGTACGGTGACATAATTATATATATATATTATAATTATATTATATTATATTATATAGAAAAATCGCGCCGTTCGGACCACTAGGTTAGCTCGCTTCCGCTCGCCAATTATACCGCACGCGTGTGTGTAGCTCCGCTCCGTACTCTTGCAATGGATCAGTCCAGAGAAGATGCCCTTCGTCGTCGAAGAGAGAGGGAATGAGAACATCGTGCCCGTGAGACTCCCGAGCAGACAGAGGCTCGTCTGTATCAGCGTCGCTTGCGTGATAGGGAACGCTCTTATTTTACGCTGCCTAGTTAGTCATATCGATGCGAAATCTAGCCAGCGAAAGAACTTTCGTCTATTCGCTGGCATTCGTTTCTGCATCCGTGTTACATTTTCCTTATTCCCGGACTAAACTTTCCTTATAATCCCGGATTATAACACACCTTATGATTATAAACTGGCGCTAAAACCGGCATTCTAAGGGCGTCGACGCGCCGCTAGAATCCAGGGTAGATCAGTGTTACATTTTTCCTCATTCCCGGCTGCCAGCATTATAATGTAATACAGGAAAGCTTTGCTCCGGGAATAAGGAAAATGTAACACGGATGCAGAAACGAATGCCAGCGAATACATACCTACCAATCTGCAGATAAACCTTTGTTTGAGAAATGTGTTTGATTTGGAGTATATAGTTTCGCTTGAAATTGCTGCGTGTCCATTCAAAATGTATGGGCATCACAGGTTAGCACAAAAAAGAGGGATTTGGTGATTTTCTAGTGGGATAGGCAGTATTTTTGCTTGATTACCAAGCAAAAAGGTGGATGGTTGGTAGGTATGTGAATAGAGGAGAGTTCTTTCGCTGGCTAGATTTCGCATCGTAACTAGGCAGCGTAAAATAAGAGCGTTCCCTATCACGCAAGCGACGCTAATACAGACGAGCCTCTGTCTGCTCGGGAGTCACGGGCACGATGTTCTCATTCCCTCTCTCTTCGACGACGAAGGGCATCTTCTCTGGACTGATCAATTGCAAGAGTACGGAGCGGAGCTACATACACGCGTACGGTATAAACAGAGCTACGCACACGCACGACATTATGCCACAGGCAGGCAGCATGTGAAAATTTTGAAATCCTTTCGGATGAAAAGAAGCGCGTAATCCTGGAGCATGCACAGTTGGACGACGTACCGGTAGATAGAAAATTCCACGCCGTTCTTATACCACTAGGTTAGCTCGCTCCCGCTCGCCAACTATCCTGAGTTCATTCTCCAGACTGGTCCCTTCAGTCACATTGTTACTATTCTGGAGTGGAGCTCCTCTGCCCTATTACTGTATTGCATCTTTATCTTCCTTTTGCTAAAGCGGTTGCAAGAGACTGTAGCACAGACAAAAATAGGCCATGGGCACATTCCTTTTGCTTCACACCTATTATGCACATGCATAAACTCTTTCTCCAATATACTAGGAACTCCAGGTAAAGACCAACTAAGATTATCTTTTAATAAGTATGCAGAGTCTTCCACTCCTATAATACTGTGCCAGTATTTCCAGCACATTTCACTTTTGGAAGAGGATATTTGAATGAGGATGGAGTCTGCTGTGGGGAAACTCATTGTTGTCTGTAAGACAGGACTACATAGTTGCTTCCTGGTCAGCTAGGTAGGAACCCACTAACAATCCTAAGTTGGCATAATTTGCGCTTGTTAACAAACACAACAATGGCATAAACAGAACACATCATGTTATGCCACAATCAGTTGGCAGTTCCTCTGCCATGTCTCTGGTCAACTGAAGGTAAAACTCCGGCCTCCCGGGAGAATAGTCGAGAAAAATTCTGGACGACGTGATTTTGGGGATGGCAGACTCTATCTGTGTGCCCTCTCCCCACTCATTGAAGGAGGTAATGGACACCAGTCCTCCTCTACTGCTACGCTTGGCTCTCCTGAAGCCCTCTTTGTAGTAGGCTCCGTTTTTCCTGTCCCGAGTACTGAGTCTGTTCCAGGGGCGCACCTGAAGATCGTCGTAGCCCGGCCCGAAACTGGGGATGAAAATCAAGTTCTTCTCCGCAGCAAAGTCGGACACGGTGCCCCAGTTGGTGTAAGTGGACCCGAAACTGAAGCCCTCGGCGGCAAAGTAGGTGTAGACTCCGTCGAATCCTCCGCCCACTGCAGACTTCATGTGAGTGTGCTCCACAAGCAGAGCTATGGCAACACAATCCTCGTCAGTCCCTCGTATGGAGAGGGGCCCCCCCTCGTTTGAAGATAGACACCCACTCTCTTGCCTCACTGAGGTAGGAGTCATAGATATAGATGAGAGGAAGGTGGAGCATCGCCCCATCATTAGGATTCAATCTCTCCAGCTTATAGAAGGCAGGGTGTTGGCTGTAGTGGGAGTGGATGTATTGGAGGTCTCCCCGCACTGATTGCGCGGTCCTCCCCTTGTACGGCTCAATATGGAGGGTGAGTTTGATGTCGTGTGCAAGGGCGGCGTCCAGTAAAACCGGAACGACTGGATCAGGCGGGGGTCCCTCTTCGTCAGCGAGACCCACCGGGTACCACGAGACGACGATCACTCCCACACCGGCCACTCGTAGCTGAGTCATGTGCGTCGCTACTACAGCCGGATCCCGTGAGCTGTAGCAACCGAGCTCTGGGTAGAAACTGGCTCCAATGTTGTCTGGAGGGACGTGTCTCCCCTGAGGATATTTGCTAGTTACACTGTCCTTCCAGTGGGGGAGGTAGCGGTGGTTCCAGTGATATGTAGCGGCCATCTGTCGTTACGTTTCCATACCAGGCGTAGTAGAACGCATGGAGACAGGGATTTGGCTTAGGAAGGGTGAGGTTGTTTGCAGTAATCCTGGTTTGCTGGTGGTTTTAGTGATGTCGTTGGTGGTATTGGTTGAGGGTTTCAAATGACGACACAGACACATGTTTGATCTTTTTTACAATTAGGCCAGTTGCATTCCGGTTTCTGGTCAGAGCCTTTTGCGAGAGGGTTTACTCATTATGTCATGTAGTACACTAGTATATGACAGAAAAATTCATAGTGGGAAGACAGTCAAAACGAGACAAGTGCAAATCCCATTAGTACAACACTGCACGTAAAAACTTTACCAAACTGGCGTTCTCTTGAAATGGGGTGCGGGTCGCGGACCAGAAAACCGGTATACAACTTGGAATGGCTTTATAGCAATTTATCTGGCGTCATACCATCTTTAGACCGCAGTCACGCGCAATTGACCAATCAGATTACAGAATGCGTTTATTTTTCATAGACACCTCCTTCAGGTGTCTAATGCGTTTGCAGGTGGTCTACAGCAACTCCCGTACAAAATGGCTATTCTCAAAAGTCGTTATCTGCGCAACCGACCGGCCGATTCCGCGTTCGGTATAGTAAGCGTAGAAGGCGCGACTGGCAAAGTAGCTCTTTTAAAATGCGTAGTGCACCTGCAAAGAAGTCTGTGGACAGTCTCCGGAGCTCGCGAAAGTCAGAAATCACGTCAATATTCCACGAAAAAGCGTCGGTTCTTCAGCTCTGGCGATACACAAACACATTGGGCCGTTGCCGTGCGTTGCTAACCCTTTCACAACGCGACACCACCAATGAGGGCGTTTTATGATGACTGTAAACGATTTTTGACGGGGGGCGGGGCTGTCTCCTCGGAGTCTAGTCTCACGCGTAAAAAAAGCGTCTTGTTCCATCCGAAGGTAGGAATGAGGAATGAGTGCAGCGTTGCTAGCTTGTTGCTACCCATTTGAACGCGCAAACACCAATCAGATACTCCGGTCTAAACCGGTTAGACGCGGAAGCTCGGTTGTCTACGCAACATGCAACCCTCGGGGCATGTGGGTAGCGCCCTCGCTGCGCTCGGGACGCCAACATTCCACAGCCCCTCGGGTTGCAATGTAGCGTAGACACCTCCTCTCCGCGTCTACCTATATTGTTAGACACGGTAACACGCAATTGACCAATCAGATTGCGAGTTTAGCGGTGACTATTTTTGTAGTGACCTCTTCCGCGGTATCTATTCTTCAGCCCCCGTGCAACCACGCATTCAATTCGAAAGACGCCACGCGCGCGGGCGGTGAACCGAGCTTCTGGAGCAGTTCTTCCCACGAAGAGAAACCAGAAAGAAACAGGCTCTTTCTAGCAGCAGCGCATGACTACTAGAGAGCTAGGAAGACGCTATAGAGAAGCGTACAGGGAAAAAACGCGTACAAACGGCTGGCCGGCGCGATCCCGAAGGCAGCAACGCCTTACACGGACACTGCCGCGGGACGGACTTGCGCTGTAGTCTACGCCGGTTAGGACGCGTCCGCCTTGGGAAACTACGCGATTTAGTGAGCCTCGGAGCCCTTAGTAGCGGCTCGCTGCGCTCGGACGCCGACAGCTCAGGGCTCCTCGGCTCCCTAAATCGCGTAGTTCCCGCGGCTCAGCATCTAACCTATAGCTACGTAGGATGTATGCCTTTTTATTTCATAGTCAGATTTGTAATCATGTGAGGGAGGACATATGTACTTGCAGTTTGGTGGGAAAGTTTGTGGCAAAACAGGTGATATTTGATCAAATGCTGAGTGCTTCATTTGATATGGACACCATTCATTCCACCAGTGGAGCAGTCTATGCCATCATATGCTACCACAAGGTACCTATTATGCATGTACCCGTTTAATACGTAGACCACTGCAGAAACCAATATAATACTGGACTTGGGGCATATATACATGTGTGTAGGGTCAATACGCACAAATTTCCAGGTAAATCTTTTAATTTTCAGCTTTAACCCCTCTCCCCCCTCACCAGGAAAGCTACCTGTCCCTAGCCAACTCCCTCATCTCCTCCTAGTCAGATCCTCAGAACCAGAGCCGGCTCATGGAGGCCTTCTCTCTCCTCACTCCTCCCTCTCTCCCTCTGGACTCCAAGAGAACTTCCAAAATCACTTTCAGAAAGAACCTCGAGCAGTTCTCTACCGTTTGTGAAAGGTTCTTGTGTTACAAATGACGACACACACGTTTCATCATCATCGTTGTCTTCTTTTTTTACCATTAAGCAACTATCTGGCTCATATTCCATCTGTAGGATGTATGCTTTTTATTTCATAGTGAGACTTGTAATCATGTGAGGGAGAACATATGTACTTGCAGTTTGGTGGGAAAGTTTGTGGCACAAACTTTTGCAGATTAATTTTTGTCAGGTTTAACCCACATGTCGCAGAGACTTCCTCCCCTACATGTTTTCTATGCTTACACAACTGCAACAAAGGGCATGTGGTGCTCCCTGATTAACCCTCGGCGTGCATGTGCAGCGAGGGTTACTGTAGTTGTCGTGTGTGTCTGTCTGTCCGTTACCCAACATCTCACTTCACGAGCCATGAATCGCTCCACAAAGGGCATGTGGTGCCCCCTAATTAGAATCATAACTACGTAGAATAACGCAACACATAATTTTGGTGAGCGAATGCGAGAGTCACACGTGACATACACTCCTTCACGTAAAACATTACTGTATATGTGCACATAGCGTCGTATAATAATGTGGAACCTCCGAACAAGGGACACTATGGGGCCAACGATTTTGTCCCTTGTAGAGAGGTCGTCCCTATCTCGGAGGTCAAATAATACACTAAAGTATTAGCATGGGATTGAAACGAGTGTCCTTTGTAAAGAGGTTGTCCCTATTTCGGAGGGTCCCTTATCGGAGGTTCAACTGTAATGTGGAAAAGACGATTAGGTAGACTTGCTCCACTTGCCAATTATGCTTGCTGTGTTGTGTTGAAAATTTAACCTCACAACTAAGAAACAGCATTCTAACTAGCTACAGAGTCCATACGTCAATGTTATTATGTAATCCGAGGCAATCAAAATCCGAGGGGTGTCCAAAGAGAGAGTCCTAGCAGACTGGAGGAGGGGTTCTGGAGAGAATGTTGGGATTTCCTGAGACTCAGTTCTGGGCTGGAGCTGGCACTGTGGGAGGAGGGAAAGGATTGCAGCAATTTGGAGTATGTTCATACTTTTTGAATAGTAGGCACTGCCCTACCCTATTAAATTCACAGACTGTTCTATATACTACTGTACTAGAGGAATGCAACACGTTATTGGCGAGCAAAGTGAGCAGTTCAATATTTCACACGTGTTTTTGCGTGTATTTAGAATAATGTAGATCATTACGGTATGTGCAGTGCCCATCACATAAATTCCTGCATTGACATATATGACTATACTGACTATACTGCTACATACATACTGGAGTCCAATAATGTACACAAGGAAAAGGCAGGCATGCATGGATAATGTTTTGACAGATGGCATGCATAGAGTACTGTCCTACAGTACATGCATACATACTGGACTTTAGTGTGTGGCAATGTGTATGTTTGCCATAAAACACAAAAATATCAGCGAAGATAGCACTATCAAACGGTACCAAAAATAACTTTTCCAGTTCCCCCCCCCCCCCGTTCGTTGTTCCATTATCAGCAGTCATATTGTACACTAGAGAACCTACCATTGTGATTGTGAGCGATGGTGAGGGCGAGGGCAGGGTTGTTTCCCCCGGCAGGGTGGGCCACTGCAGCCACAAGCAGCTGCCACGACGGAGCTCCGAACCTCCGAGTGTTGTCAACCTTATTCAGCCACTGGGTCAGGACCTCCCTGAGACAGTCCTCAACATCGTGACAGTTTGCCTTGACGGTGTCAAGGGTACCAGGATGGAGTCCGAAGGCCAGACCCAGACCTTTCCACTTTGCAGCAACATTGCAGAGCTCAGAGTGGACTTCAAACAAGTCATTGATGTCTGGAGGACAAGATGAGAAGTGAGAAGGTAAAAGGTACAGTTGTACATAGGAAATTGGTGAGCTAAGCAAGCATACCTATATAGTCATTTCAATGCGGGAATTTTCTATATGTGACGGCTCTGTCGAGGACTGCTCATTCCGTAATGTTCTACTACATACGTGATTGCAAAACACGCGCGAAACTATTTAACTGCTTGCGCTTGTCGCCCACAATGCGTTGCATTCCTCTAGTATAATGAAGGACGAGGGAAGAAACATACCTAGTGTGATGGGTTGTTGTGTACTATCTGAAGAGGAGGTAGGTGGGGGCTGCTGGGGTTGTGTAGTGGTGACTGGTGCTGCCTCTGACACTGTGGACTGCTGCTGTTTGCCTGTATAATATACAAGTGGAAAAATCATTTCTTCAAAATGAAAGGGGGATATAGGGATGGCTTGAAGCACCAAAAAGGAACTAACAAGAGGGTCATTACACAGCAAAGTTGCACAAAGCTACATGACACCATCCCTATATCTTTGTTGTTATACGGCTCTGCAATAGAGGTTGTCTTGCATGTATATTTAGCTCAAGGGAAAGTTTGCTTATAAACAATAAAACAAAGATATGGGGATGGTGTCATGTAGCTTTGTGCAACTTTGCTGTGTAATGACCCTCTTGTTCGTTCCTTTTTGGTGCTTCAAGCCATCCCTATATCCCCCTTTCATTTTGAAGAAATGATTTTTCCACTTGTTTCCACTATTTTTAACTGCTTATGACAACACTGCATTTTCAGTCACCTGATGTTCATGGGTATGTTGTAGAGATAACTGATGAAAGCAGTAGCTAATGGGCTGCTGCGCCTAAGCGGGGTGTACGCAGTGTCTCCAACAAGGACGCAATTAGGTTGTGGCACACGGTGGCGATTTCATGGGCAGGCTTCAGTAACCAGATTACTATTAGCTACCCGGGGACCAAGAATGAAGGCCAATTTGTACGCCTCGCGTAACCCGGCGCAGACTGCCACCTGCAAATCAACAGCTAAAAGCAAGGTAGCCAGTTTAAATGTGTATACTGACTTACAGAAGGCGCTGGAGGATGAGAGGTCCTCTGCAGGCATCCTGGCTTTTTCTCGTGGAGCGAGACTATGTAATGCGCGCATTGGAAACGCCCTCCTCGGCGCATGCGGCTCACTGATGCTGAGTTAGCAGCAAAAATGGCGTTGTTCAGTGACTACCGTGGAGGAGCTCAACGATCTACCGTAGTGACTTGCGGCATGAAAGAGACGATCGCTTGATGTCCGTGCACACCTCTGGCGAATCTGGAAACGTTTGATGGAAAAATCAGCACTTCAACTATTTTCGGTAACGAGATAGCGGGTTTACTGAAGAAGAAACCGAAGATGAAGAATAATTATGATGATGATGATGATGACACGAAAATCGTGTAATCGCGTAAGAGGCAATTCTCTCGTGGGGAACTGAGGGCACGTAGGAAGTCTTGGGGAGTATGTATAGCTAGGTATTGGCCTGTAGACTATTGCTAGTGATTTTCAAGCAATGGTGAGTCTTTCTCGCCAAGTTTTGAGGCGTTTTGTACGCGGATCACGTGAGATTTCACCCGTGTCATCCCTATATAGAGCGTCTACCGACGCTCTGATAGAATGAATGTGAATCTCATCCTAGTATCTTTAAGGATTCTCATACATACATACGTACATACGTACCTAAATGTACAGTTTTGTCTGCTATTTGACTTCTTGTTAGGGAGGTTATGGCATGTTGGAAACAACTCACTTGATTTCTCAAACCAAAGAAATTCAGTGTCAAGTGCTGCCAAAGTGCCACGGATTTTCATGTCACTGGTGCAGTTCCATTTTCCGTCCTTGATGTAGGCTGTGTGGGCCTTGTCTGAGTGGCTCTTTGGACAGATGATGGCTGGCCGTGGCTTGTTGTTGGAGTAGCCCAGCATGTCCGACACCTTTTCAATTCCGTTAAAGATGGATTTGTCGACGTGTTGCCATAGTTTCTGTTCCTCTTCCTTGCTGGTGGTGTCTGAGACGTGGGCCTCGAAGTACCGGAAGCGATCCACCAGAGTGACGGAACCGAAATCTGGAACATGGAACTCGATGCAGTCGCGATAGAGGCATGTTGGCTGGTTGGAGGAGAGGCAGAGTTTCCAGGGGTGGGGGTGAGGGTGCTGGGGAGACAGGACGTGGGCCATCAGTGAGCAGAAGATTCCGTTCTGGGGACCTCCGTCGGGGAAGTCTACCACTAGGGGACCGGCCGACACGCACACTTCCTTTACCTTCTCCTCCGCCACTTGTCTCAGGACACTCGGCATCAACCAGGTCTCTGGACCCTCCTCACTCTCCAGTTTGGCAAACACCAGCAGCTCCTCCAGAAGGTGGATCAGATCCTCGCAGATGAAGATCCCGCCGTGGTGGTAGTGGCTGCTGAATCGCTTGTCCTCCAGGAAGGCCTTTGTCACGTGTCCAAACTTCTCAAACTGCTGCCAGCCTGGAGGGAGGAGAGACTCGTCTGCTGTCTGGGAGGAGGTGGCGGCTGCTTTCTCGGGAGTCGTGCCGTCTGTGTTGGTGGAGGTTGGCTCTGGCTTGTCGGTGTCTGGTCCAGGAGTCTGGGCTTTGGCTGCTGCGCCTGCTGCCTCGTCCGGTGACGTCTCGTCTTCCTCTTCCGGCTCTCGCAGCTCAAACATGAACACCACCAGCTCCGAGACCTTGTCCAGAATGACTTGTGGGTCGATGAACACCACTTCGGGGAGGATGTCGCGGAAGTAAAACATGAGGCTCCAGTTGTGGAAGAAGTCTAGGGCTTCGTTGAAGGAGTTCTCCTCCAGTCCCAGAGACTGCGCCACACGCCAGCATTCCTTGCGACTCATCACCTGCCTCCCCAGACCCTTGGCCAGGCTTCGCAGCTTCTCCTCAAAGGCGTCCCATCTCACCGGGATCTCCACTTCCTTTGCCGGGCACTGCTCCAAGATGTAGCTCCGAACCTTCTCCGCCGTCTTCCTGTCCGTGTCGTCTGGATTCAGGGCATTGATCTCGAAGATGAGTGTCTTCTTGTCCAGCTGGATGATCTGCTTCTCAAACTTTGCCGGGATCAGCTTCTTCAGTCGCTCGTTCTTGTCTGCCACCGTTTCGGGGAGACATTTGTGTGCCTGGTCGCGGTGGGTGCCGAGGAAGAGCAGCTTCGAGGGCTGCCCCTTCGTTTTGGAGGTGAACGTGTTGATGGTTTGGATGAACTTCTTCAGGTTCTCTTCGTTGGTTCGGATGCAGCGGTAGGGCTTGGAGACGGCCTTGCCCCTGAGCCAGTAGCCAGTCTGAGGGTGTTCGTCCAGCGACTGTGACAGGTCCATCACCAACACACAGGCCGAAGTCTCGCCAAGGAACACGGCCATGGCTTCCATGAACTCGGGTTGTCCTCCGCTGTCCACGACGTACACCACCGTCTCGTCCAGGAGCGTCTCGTGAGAGTCGCTGGGGATGTTGATGAGGGAGATGTACTCTTGGTCCTCCTCAGATGACTGCAGCAGGGACTCCAGTGTCACCTCTCCTGGGGCTGCTCTGGACGACCTGTCAGGAACGGCTGTTGATGTGTTTGTGGTGGGACTGCCAGCAGTTTTCACTGGCTGTGTGGGTGTGGATGACTGCTGGGCTGAGGACGAGGGCTGGGTTGAAGACAAGGGCTTGGCTGGGGAAGACGGAGCAGGTGTGGGGAGGGACGCTGGGTCTTGGCTGGTGAGAGAGACTTGGCCTAGTCGCTGGGCCCGCTCTCGCAGGAGGCTGGCAATGTATTTCTTCTTCTCCTCCGGGTTCCTCTTCTTCCAGTGGACCTTGTCGTGGACGACGATCACCTCTGTTTGGACGGGTCTCGTCAGGAGTGGTGTGCTGGTGCGCTGGTCTTCTGCCAGTGGCTCCTCCCCAATCACTGTCTGTAGAGACGTTGATTTCCCACTGCCAGCAATCCCCACCATCACCAGTTTAGTCAGTTTTCGTTTGGTGACTCCTCGCTTCATTTCTTCTTGGTAGATCTTCTTGGCACGTCTTCTTCCTGGTGGTTATAGAAGGCAAACATGTACACGTATAGTAAAGGTGTGTAAAAGGTGTCAACCATTCCATGTAACTGAAAATGGAGGGTTCGGCATTGTGGCACCCCACATGCACTGGCACGAGGTTTTTCATGTATAATTATAGTTACCAGCATCTCAACTAGCTTCATACAACATCTTGTTCTTTACTTATATAGGAATAATAATTATGGTTTTACTAGTCTTTGCTGCAATCTGATTCAGGAGCTAGCTCACTTGAACTTGCTTTAGGTTAATATTGCATAACTAATGTATGCATGCATACATGTGTTGACAGAAGATAGAGGACAAAAGTTGGTAAGTGGAGAAAGAGAAGATGAGAGAGATGCTCACCAGTGGGGAATAGGGACTGGACTCTCTCTAGAACATGGTGATACTGTCCATCTCTCAGCCGGTAGAGGACATCTGACACATACTCCCATGTCAGGTGAGGATGTTCAGTGGAAATCACTCTGAGCACTTCAGCTTTCCTCTCCTTATCACTGGACAACTGAGACTTTATCTTATTCAGTATGGACGGTGGCACATTAATCATCAGACCAAAGTCCCTCCACAGTTTGTCAGGTAATGAGTCCAGAGCTGACGTCAGGTTGGAGAGAGTGAGGATCTGTGAGGATCAGAGGAACACTTTCAAACAAAGTTCATAACTGACATGACCAGTCCACCAATTTCTTGTCATATCAATACCACCCACTATAATAATGAAAAGCACTACAGTGCAAACCCTCGGACTGCGCGACAACCTACAAATACTGGAAGCGCTCTAGCTCTGCAACGGAGCATTTTCAGAGAAAACTGCACATTTCTGACCTTCATTGCCCGTTAAGTGTACGTCGCATCGTTTGCGAGACGAACAAACACTCGAGAAGTGAGATGTAGAGTAACAGACACACAGACACACAGACCCAACTACCGTAACCCTCTCAAAGTCGATGCCCAATTCGGGGGAGAGGACCAGAGAAAAATCTTTACTCTTGCTGAAAAGGTGAGCAAGCGAGAACACCCCTTCATAAGTACATCACTTTGAATACGTCTATACCTGTACTGGCATCACAAGAATCGGTGGGTACGTAAGTTGTATACGGTACTGCGAGTGTTGCATAAGGACACTGTGCTTGCTACGTCACACAGTTCCTGGTCTGACTGGCGGAAAGATGAGCGCATCTGAACCTGTACGTTATCCCTATTATGCAACTGTACAAAAGTATAGCTGACATGCTTAACCAACTATCCAGCTTCAAGCAAAGTTTATACTGCCTATCCCACCAGAAAATCACCAATTCCCAGTTTTTTGTGAATATCTGTAGTTCAAGCAGAAAATATCCCTCATCACAATTTTGAGGCTCATGTTATCTGCAGGGTGTAAGCTGTTGATTGTTATGTTGTGTAGGACTCAAAGATTGATCTGTTGGACTCGCCAGAAGACGTCAAACGAAAAATCAAGAAGGTTAGCCTTGTTTCAGACAAATTACACATGACGATAAGTATACACCCACAAACAAAATACCAATGTCAGTCACAAGAAAGGGGACATTCTAGTCTTGTTGGCAAGAGAACCCAACCCACTTTGTTTTCTGATTGTGCCATTTTTCCCGAATATCCGACAACAGTGCACATGCAAAATTCACGTAGAGTGCTTTAAATGTCATAGGCTATGCACCACTTGTTCGTTTTCTTGCTTAAAGGAATTTGTGTCAGTACACAAGGGATAAATGTTTACACAGATTTCCGCACATTCCGTTTAAGTATTGTGACGCACGTGAAAAAGCTTTTGATGAATGTAGGCATAACACATAGATAATATCTTTGATTGAGTAAGTACAATGGTAACAGGCTCTTTGAGGATGCATGAGGCGGGTGGGTGAATGCACCCCAATAAATTTTTAGACCGTTGATCATGATTAGCCTATATACCTCCCAGTAACATGTTGGTTGCTATGGATACACATACCAGTGAGAGGTTCAGCATTGGATCTTATAGAGTCGGCCAGCTCTGTTTCACCCATCCTGTCCAGGGCAACAATGAGTCTCCTCCAGCTGGCTAGAGGGTCGGTGTTGATCCAGTAGGATATAGCCTGCTTCTTTTGATCCATCTCATCTGAGAAGTTGGCCATGATCTCTTTCTGCTTTGATTCAGGTATGTAGAGCCAACTTGTCAATGACATACTCCCCAATCCACCCCACCACCTCTTCACCTCCCTCACTACTGCCAGTACATTGGAGGTAGTGAGAGGAACACCTGCCATGGAGTACACACATGTAGCATCCGTACTCTATATAGACTCTGAACTAGCTCATTAATTTTCTTTCGTTAATAGTACGTGGACCACACCCTTTGTGAGGTGCTTGCACATGTAATGTGGGTGGGGACAAATGACCTTTCAGAATGGTCACGAGACTACAGATGGGTGTGGTTTAATTGACTGGGCAGGCTGAGTCAACAGGTCTTTCAAAGTTTGGCCATGGAGTACACACATGTAGTGATGTATAGCATCCGTACTCTATATAGACTCTGAACTAGCTCATTAATTTTCATTCGTTAATAGCATGTGGATCAGATCCCTTTGTGAGGTGCTTGCACAAGTAATGTGGGTGGGGCAAATGGCCTTTCGAATGGTCACGAGACTACAGAGGGGTGTGGTTTAGTTTACTGGGCAGGGAGGCTGAGTCAACTGGAAGTCTTTAAATGTGCAGTTGCCATGTAAATACACAGTTATAGCACAAATGAGGCAGCTAGAATCATCCCACCCAGCTTTTATGAAAGACGATCCTTTTCAGTCTACAGCAACTCTCCCCACACTTCACCCGACTACTTCATTCCTTTTCAGAACACCTAGCTGCAGTAGCTAGTCACTGAACTGTGCCCAATATACTTACTTCGTTTCCCTCTCAGAGTGCTCTGGGCCATTTTACTGGGTTAGCTACTGTCTGTGGGAGAGAGAGACTCGGCGGCTTCCTGGACAGCAGATGAAGGCCGCGCTCAGCCCGGAACACGGAAAGCCTCGACGTGTAGCGTAAGTGTGTAACCGGCAGTAAACAACATAATACGAGCCGCACCCACAAGAACAATATGCGCATGCGCGTGTGGTGGCCCAGCACTCAGCGATATAATTATAGAGAAACCCATGAGAGTGAGAAACCCGTTGCAGTGATCAGCTCTACTTCAAGGGGCATGCTTTACTTGCCAATTACGCACATGATTTTTTATGGTGAAAAATTAACCTCTCAACTAAGAAAGAGCACTACAATGCACAGGCTTCATGTCAATATTATGTAATCCGAGGCAATCAAAATCCGAGGGGTGTCCAAAGAGAGAGTCCTAGCAGACTGGAGGAGAAGGGGTTCTGGAGAGAATGTTGGGATTTCCTGAGACTCAGTTCTGGGCTGGAGCTGGCACTATGGGAGGAGGAAAGGATTGCAGCAATTTGGAGTATGTTCATACTTTTTGAATAGTAGGCACTGCCCTACTCTATTAAATTCACAGGCTGTTGTATAATGTTTTGACAGACGGCATGCATAGAGTACTGTCCTACATGCATACATACTGGACTTTAGTCCCAATAATGCGTGGCAACAATCTCTAGAGCGCAATAATATCTCTATCTAGAGTGCACCAAAGGTAGCATTGTACTGGTCACAGTGAGTATATACATCTCTCTCACACTGACCATTGTACTTGGTGGCAATGTGTATGGCAAGGGCGTTGTTGTTCCCGCCATTGCGATGGGCCACTGCCTCCACCAACATCTTCCACGAAGGCAGTCCGAAACGCTCCGTGTTGTAAGACTGGTTCAGCCACTCGGTCACCATCTCTGACAGACAGCTCCTAGAGTCTTGTTGGTGATCAGCTTTGATTCTGGCAAGAGTTGAAGGTCGTAGTCTGAGAGCAGTTCCCAGTGGTCTCCACATGTGGGCCACGTCATCCAGTTCGCAAACAACTTCAAACAGATCATCTGTGTCTGCAGCAAACAACACATTCAACCAACACATAATTCCCATTCGGTGTAAAGACAATCTGAAAAAAAGATGGTATGGAGACCCTCCGAGCTAGAAACAAAGGCTGACTCTGGGCTTAAAACCAACCTAAATAGAGATTTTTGTGTCGATATCCATGTTGATTTTAGAGCCTACCAAAGCAAAAAATTTCTACATGTTTCCTGAGTACACACGGAAAAAATTTAAAAAGCCAGTCTGAGGCATGTATAAGGCCTTCTAAACCACCTGATATCATAGACTCGCTCTATATTATTAAGTGTGGTTCCCCTGTAGTAACATACACTGGAGCACACACTCCGAACTCTATACCTAAAGTGGAGTGGTAGCTGGGTGACTCGGACACTGTCGACTGCTGTGTGTCTGCAGTGGAGTGCTGTGCGGCATCTAAAGTGGCTCTGGGTGGCTCGGCAGTGGCTGATGACTCACTGGATAACACTGACACTGCAGACTGCTCCTCGCCTGCAGTACCAGTACACACATCCAAGGGTTACACATTAGCTGGCATCTTAACCCTGAAATTATCTAGGCCACCCCAATAGTTATGTATGTACTCATTGATTTAACTCCATTGGAACACTTCTTACAGTAAAAAAAACGAGTTTCCTGGAGGTATGTGCTAAAGACAGGCTTACGTGGTTTTTCACACCAGCAGGGAAAGTTGTCCATTTCTGCCAAAGTGCCGCGGATTTTCATGTCGCTGGTGCAGTTCCATTTTCCGTCCTTGATGTAGGCTGTGTGGGCCTTGTCTGAGTGACTCTTTGGACAGATGATGGCTGGCCGTGGCTTGTTGTTGGAGTAGCCCAGCATGTCCGACACCTTTTCAATTCCGTTAAAGATGGATTTGTCGACGTGTTGCCATAGTTTCTGTTCCTCTTCCTTGCTGGTGGTGTCCGAGACGTGGGCCTCGAAGTACCGGAAGCGATCCACCAGAGTGACGGAACCGAAATCTGGAACATGGAACTCGATGCAGTCGCGATAGAGACATGTTGGCTGGTTGGAGGAGAGGCAGAGTTTCCAGGGGTGGGGGTGAGGGTGCTGGGGAGACAGGACGTGGGCCATCAGTGAGCAGAAGATTCCGTTCTGGGGACCTCCGTCGGGGAAGTCTACCACTAGGGGACCGGCCGACACGCACACTTCCTTCACCTTCTCCTCCGCCACTTGTCTCAGGACACTTGGCATCAACCAGGTCTCTGGACCCTCCTCACTCTCCAGTTTGGCAAACACCAGCAGCTCCTCCAGAAGGTGGATCAGATCCTCGCAGCTGAAGATCCCACGGTGGTAGTGGCTGCTGAATCGCATGTCCTCCAGGAAGGCCTTTGTCACGTGTCCAAACTTCCCAAACTGCTGCCAGCCTGGAGGGAGGAGAGACTCGTCTGCTGTCTGGGATGAGGTGGTGGCTGCTTTCTTGGGAGTCGTGCCGTCTGTGTTGGTGGAGGTTGGCTCTGGCTTGTCAGTGTCTGGTCCAGGAGTCTGGCCTTTGGCTGCTGCGGCTGATGCCTCGTCCGGTGACGTCTTGTCTTCCTCTTCTGGCTCTCGCAGCTCAAACATGAACACCACCAGCTCCGAGACCTTGTCCAGAATGACTTGTGGGT